ACTGGAGGAGCACAGGGCGCGTCGCTTCCCGGGAACGCCGTAGCATGATTAGCAAAACAAATTGAGTGAATATCCATGAGTATACATACATGCATACACTTGTCTTGGTGTCCGTTTTGAAATAGGAATGGCATGCTCCAGTTTTAAGGTTGGTGAAGTTACGAAGCGATTCCTCCGCAAATGTCGAAATTTTCTTCATCAACTATGAGAGAATGCAAAGACCGTCTGATCAGACTGGATGAAATTCGACTGGAATCACAGTTTAATTAAATTTACTCAGCTGTAGGTGGCACAACCCAGTACAGTACACTTGTACTTGGCCCAGACGATCAACTGCTACCGGAGTCCTTTACAGGTACCGTTTCCTCTGTATCGTTTCAACCACTTGGAAGCCATAAATCTGTGTTTTGTTTAATGCCTCTGATACACAAACAGCGGAGTTTAGAGTTTTGTCATTGAAAAAAATGAAACGGATGTCGAATGTCCTTTTCATGCCGTATATAATAATAATAATATAAGTTAGCTGACATGAATCTGCACAAATTTACGAATGTGAACTGAGGTCCGCTGTGAATCGTTCATAAATTTCGGATCGTCCAAACCGTAATTTGGGGTTCAGTATCACACTTTTGACTAGCTAGAAAGCCTTGTGCGTGATATGCTCTGTTGTAGTGAGGTTCTCGCTTTTTTTCCGTTCTGGGTCCTATCATGGAAGCCAGATTCCGCTGGAATTCTTGTTAATACTCTTGTTTCATCTACAATTACGAAATGCTGCTCCTGTGTTCATGATATTCGTGTGTGCTCATTCAATCTCGTAACCTAGCACAGGTATAATGTAACCGGTTTCCATGACTTAAGTTTGAAAGGGTATCATTGAAATGAGATCATTGATTGATAAATTCGAAGAGAATACTAAACCGGATTGATTTTGGACTGTCCTGGGCACTAGGAAAGGGCCTGAGTGCTGTGTTGCTCACCCAAATGAAAGTTTGTCGCATGTGACATGCAAATATGTTTTCACATTGCCTCACAATAGTCAGTGGATCAATTTATTTACACATGTCACGTGTCACTCCGGATCGACTCAGCTGATCAAATGTACTTCAATGGAAGTTGGACGCACAAACCTACACACACCCAGTCGGAATATGGTTGACAGCCGAAGAGTGGAGAAAAGTATTCAGACTGACTGACACGGAAATATACTCATATTTTACGGTGTATAACTCATTTCACTTACCAAGAGTAGAAACGCATAGAGGAAAATTACAATCAGACGTGGAGTTCATGCAAAAGAAGAATGAAAGTGGATCATATGAATGAAGAAAAATCCAACAAAACATGACCTAGTGATTACTCGTGTACGCTTAGTGCATCCGCCAGTCGACAACGAAGTATGTACGTACTTGCTAGCATTAAATACAACCGGCTCGCTGGCGTGTCGAACATTTCATATTGAATGAAAAACATGGAAGTTGGGCTGGAGAGTGGGGCATAATACGAATGATCAGAGTGGATAATACTTCACTTCAGCAGTAAAAGATTGTAGTCTGGTTTATGATACAGTGTCAACGTGTTACACACATATACATACACCTGCGTACACACACACACCAATGAAAAGCCTCACACGTAGTGCCCAGTCCTTTCATCCTTGACGAGATCCTCGAGTATCAAGCTTGTAACACTACTTATTTAGTCAGTGGGTTACCACTGAGAAAACGGGCTTCAATGAACTGATCTTTGAATGATGGCAAGAGGTCCAAGGGGAAAATTGAACGGATGCTGTATCATGTTGTGGTGATACCGGATGTATGTACCACTTATTGTAAAATATTCTGTAAAGACTCTCAAGCCACGCTTTTACGGCTACCACTCACAGAACATGGAACCACAGTAACGATGCGAAAATTGACTGATTCCGACAGGTCCGTCTAAACAAATTTACCCAGTGTGGCAAATGAGATTTTGTGTCGAAAACACCTGGATACAAGTATATGAATGAACTTACAAAAGATTGCTGGATACGTATGTCTGGCAAGCGATAATAACCGGAAATTCGGTCGTTTCTTGGGAAATTTTGTTGACTCAATGATATTGCAAAATATGTACATCGTGGGCCGAATTAGAGCCTCATTGAGGCCGGGTCTACATACCCTTTCAGACCAGGTGAAGGTAATATGGTGACATAGCCTTGCTCCTACAAAATCTTATCATGAATGGACCCGCACACACCGAACAAGATAGGAGGTCCTGATGAACTTCCGTCTGCTGTCCCAAGAGAAAATGTGCTGCCTTTCTTGCGTCCGTACTGTCTAAAATTTTCAATCAGATTTCGCAGTTTACCGCGCCCTCAACTGCTAAACAACAACCACAATCACCGTCGTGCAGAAGAAGAGCTCTTCGAAATTTCGTCCAACTGCCTGCACTTTAGTTGTTGTAAAGGCCACCGCTAAAAACTTCATCTTTAAAGTTTGATGTTGAGGATGTACACCAGTTGGCGTATACCCGAGGGATCTTGGATGTCCCTTCTACTATTCCTCAAAACACTGAAGTGTTCTGAACACAATGACCCTCCCCTCAACCTTCTTAAATGTTCTTTGTATTTTTTTCCTTTGTTCAGATCAGTCTTTTACCGATCGCCCACATCTTCCCTTCTGTGGTGTTTCCAAAGAAGCCAGATGCGCCTCGTAATAAACACAATTACTGTCACATCTTCGCCTCAAAGATCTTGATGCCAATGATTGCAAAACAATTTTATTACCATGTGGAACTCCACAAACGTCAACGACCACATATATGGCTTCTTCTGACGAAGAACCTCCGGCGACTTGCTACCATACGAGTCACACAATGGTCTTCCATTGTTGAACACTATGGTGACTCGCATCTGGTCATTTTCGGTATCGAGCGGTCTGGGAGCGATGGAGTCTTGGATACTCTCCCCGAGTTTCGTCAACAGGACGATATACTACCCTGATAACTGTCAATTCTAGGTTCGCGTTGATGCGGCGATTTTGAGAGCAATTACCATCAACCCCGTCATGTCATTGTTCGCCTCGACATCGAAAATTTAATCTCCACAACTATTAATCTTACCCATGCTTTTACCGATTATACCAACCTGCATTGTTCTCTTTCTCACAACGCTTCGCGCGCTTTCTGCAGTCCAATCACATACGCTTCAGTCCCGTTCCTGCATGTAGCACTGAAAATCGGATTGCTTTTAGTACCATGAGAATCTTTTGTAAGTCCGCACTCCATAGACGTCATCCCGGCAGATGGCAGAAGATGGTAAGTGATATCTGATACAACCTGCGGTCCAGAGGAATGGGCAGCTGCGGTTCATCTGAGATGTCCGCTTTACCGTTATAACCCTTACGCGCATTGAGTCACGGTTACATGCAAAACATCGTGTTATTTAGAAATGCAAATTTAACTCCCTTACTGGAATGATTGGGACTGTAGTGCTGATGAAGAAATTTTTGGTGAGCCCGACAGAGGACACCAGCTCTGTACAACAAATGACATTAGTGAATCTCTCACAAAGGAAACTTGCCCGGGACGTAAACGAAGAACCGGTATTGCAACGACTACAACCTAGTCACCTGAGGCCTTCCGGGAGAAATACCCAATTGAGTTTATCTGTACCAGTCCGATTACACGCTAAATGAAAATAATCAGATTTAGATGGAGTCACCGAGCTGCGCAAACAGCAGCTAAGCATCTGGTGATGGCCACTGAAGACTGAATTAAGTTGTACTGTCGGAACGCTTGATCAACAGCATATAACCGAGACCAGCTAGTTTTGATTCACGACGAAGAAAAGGGTTTAAGAGGATGGTTTGTACAACCTTATACGCTGAAAAGGAGATAGTTAAGATTCTACAGAGATCCTCATAAATGATCGGCAGATAACGGGGCTCGGTCCTATAACGAAGCCTCGGGTTGACGTCCCTGGTTCTCATGGATTTTACAATGAGTCATTCGTGTGGATAAATAACGACTCAGTAACCCATATAGTTATAGATACTCGAAAAGTGGAATGTATTAAAGGATAACATGCCTATCTTTATTGTTTGTTCAATACGTCATTCTCTCTTTCGGTCAGTGTCAATGCGCGTTGCAATGACACACCACTTGGTTATTGGATTTCATTGTATCGGTTATTTCTGATCGTGATCGATCCTAAGTTGTCACACGCGTCATCAGATCACTTTTCAATGGGTGATCGCTTGTTTCATGTTGCACACACTGCCAGATAGACTTGTAATTGATTGTGAGAAACTTATTTGATCTTAAGACAAGGACACAGGCCTCATTAAGATTGGATGCGTGATCTTAAGAAAACCTGACTACCGGATGAACCACTGGCATTCTTCTATGGTTTTTAATTCGTACGAACTTCGTCTTGTTTAAATGAACAACACACGACTATATTGTTTCAAAATGAATAACTTGCAACAGACAGATAACAGATGGTTGGGCAAAGCATGATCGGTTAAGACTAATCAACCGACTGCACAAGATGGACGACGGGGAAGGGTGGGGTGTCCAAACAGGCAAATTCATGTACAAAGATGCAGCAGGCGAATCGAGTTCGAAATCGTAAGTGATCCGTTAGCGTCTTGACCGAATGGGGGAAGATTTCCGGCCAATAGAACGCGAACGTGGTCGACCGGAACCGCGATAGGGTGCCCCTCTAGTTCGGCGCATGTCTGCACGGTTACGAGAGCGGGATCGGTGTGATGAAGACCGAGAGGACCTAGAGGAAGACGACCGAGAACGTGAACGCGACCGCGAGCTGGTAGAGCGTCGAACAAGTCTTGGCCGTGGAGGGCTGGGTGGATTTGAATCACGTCTTCTAGCTACCGGTCGTCTTCCAGGCCGACTGGATGGCGGTGTTGCTCGCCGATCCCGCGATCGAGAGTCCGAAACGGGCGGTGGGGCCACTC